GGGGGGAAGGAGGAGGAAGGAGGAGGGGAAAGGGAGGGGAAAGAGGAAGGACGGGAGAGATGAAGGTGGGGGAAGGGAGGGGGACAAGGTGGGACTGAACACAGGGAGAGGGAGGGAGGAGGAAGGGAAGAGAGGGTTGGGGCGGGAGAGAGGGAAGGGGAGGAGGAAGGATTGGAGCAAGGTGGGGAGGAAGGGAAGGGAAGGAGGGGGAGGGGAAAGGGAGTGGCCAGGGAAGAGCTAGGGTCCTCCTGGGGGCATCTGGCTTTGAAGGCAGGTGGAGGGCGGGGCCCAGGAGAGGGAGGGCTGGTGGGTGCACCAGGCAGGGCCTGCTGAGTTGGGCCTGGGGAGCCGAGGTGAACGCGGGAAGGCTGTAGCCACAGGAGTCCCAGCCTGGGCGCACGGATGCTGCCAGGAAGGCTGGATTGGGCAGGCATGGAGTGCAGGGCAGGGGATGGCGCTAAGGGTGGGGACAGGTCACCAAGGCCTGCGTGGAACATGACCAGGGCCAGGATAGTGGGCTGGCTCGTGCGGCTGCAGGTGACCACTCCCCTCTCAGGGCCCTGCCTCCATGGGCCTGTCAACACCCAGACCACGCCCCGGTGCGTCCCACCCCACCCCCTGGTACCCTGGGCTCTCCCTGTCACCTGGTCAGGCCCCGTCTGAGCCTCACTTTCTCACCTGCAGCCTGGGTCCCCGAACCCGCAGCTGGCTGCTGTGTGGGCTCTCCAGCCTGAGCATCCTCCTGGCCCGGAGCTGGGAACCGATTCAGTCTGCAAGCTGATGCCTTCGCCTGGGCTGCGATGGGCTGAGAGCCTCACAGCTGCCTGCTGTCCCCCGCTGCGATGACCCCGCTCGCCCCTGTGTTGGCCCCAGCTGAGACTCCAATCAGCCACTGCAGCTTAGCCAGCCACGCCCCTGTCTTCATCTGTCAGGGACCCCTGAGATGAAGCCTGGATGGGGTCTGGGTGGGAATGAAGGCCAACAGGATGCAGGAGGTGGGCTGGGGCTGGCTGGGGGGTGAGTGTGGCTGTGTGAGCCTGTGTGTGAACGTGAACCTGTGCTCACAGCTGGGGAGGGTCGTGCTGTGAGCCTTGCTGTGGTGGTGGGGTGGGAAGCTGGCTTGGTTCTGCGTGTAGCCAGGGCACTGCCCCAGTCCCCGCAAAGAGGGGCTTCCCAGAGAAGGAGGCTGCCTGAGTGGCCTGGAACCCACACCGAGCCCTTGATGGGCGGGGGTCCTTCCCCTTCTTCCCTGAGGGCTATGACAAGCCCTTGCCCCTCCTGGGCCTCAGTTTCCCACTCTGAAAGCAAAGGGAGTTGGCCTAGGCGCTGGCTGCTCCCAGCCTGTGGCTTCTCTGCTCCCGCCGCCTAGCCCCACATCAGGGGCGTGAAGGGGGGTCCTGGCAGGGTAGAGCCTGCTCTGCAGCTGTCCCAGGCTCCTCTTCTCTGCACCTGTCCCTCATGAGTAGGGGTAGGACCCCTGTGAACAGGAGGGTCCATGCAGAGTGGCCGCTCTGCCCACTGTGGCACAGAGGGCACCAGGCAGACAGTACACGGAGGGCAAGCGCCTCCCCAGCTGCCCAGGCTGCATCAGCACAGCGGCGGGCACTATGGGGTCCCAGCACTCTCCTCAGCCAAGGACTGGAGGTGGGGCCGTACGCCAGACCCTGCAGGGCAGGGGGAGTCTGTGACCCCCAGGGACAGGGTGCCCCCTCCATGTGCATTCCAGCCAGGTCTGCAGACACTGCTTCCTGCTCAGGCTGAGGGAGGAGATGGCCTCAGCCCCTTCCCAGCCCCATGGCCTCCGCCAAGGCCTGAACCCCCCCAAAGCCGGCACCACACACTGCACTTCAGGGTTTTAGAGATTCCGTGAAGCTGTTTCTCAGCAATTTTCTTCCCAGGTGCCTGAGAAACACACCACTGACGCAGCGATGCTGGGCTGAGTGACAGGTGGGGGGGACGGGCAGACGCTCCCCAGGCCAGAGCTGCTGCCACCTTCTCAGATTTGCCGCCGCAGCAGGTAGCCTGGCATGTCCGAGGAGGCGTCAGGGAGCAAATTGGATTTGGCACCTCCTGGCTGCAGGTGTGAAGGCTCCAGAGGCTGAGGAGCCCAGACTCCGTCCAGGCATGGCCGCAGCAGCTTCGAGGCTCATCATGAGACTGAGGGAGGAGGCTGTGGGGGCAGGGCGGCCCTAGACTGACGGTGGAGGGCTGGTGCTCACCACTCAATTCTCCACTGTGCAGCTGGGACCTCAGTGGTGGGGGCAGACAGCCCCTGGGCCGGGGGCATGTGCACAGTTTGCAGATGAGGAAATGCAGCCTGGAGAGAAGGGGCTTGCCTGCAGGGAGGGGCCTGTGTCTGGCGGAGGGCCAGGCGGGGGCTCTGCCTTCACTCTCTGTGAGCTGTGTGACCTTGGAGGCTACGGGCAAGGTCAGCCGACTGTGGAATGCACCCCTGTGACTGGCTGCCCCAGCCCCTGCCCGTCAGTACTTCCCCGGTGGGCCCGGGGTGGAAGCAGGTGTTCTGGGCTGAGGAGTTCAGGCAGAGGGGCTGGCACGAGGGCATGCCAGGACAGTGCTGCGTTGGCAGCATCTGCTAGCACCCGGCCGGACTCGGCCTCACCGCTCAGGACTGCAGTGTCAGAGTGACCTTCAGGTCCCCCTGTCTGGAGCAGCAGGAGGCTGAGAGCCCTGCCGGTTGTCCCGGCCGAGCCGCCCCAGCCAGAGAGGCCCACCTGGCGGCTGTCCATCTGGTGCCAGGAAGGACAGGACAAGGGGTGGACAGGAGGGCAGTGGCCACAGTGGCACCTCGGGAGCCAGCAGGTCGGGGAGGGAGAGCGCCTCAGGCACCCTCACTCAGCCCCTCCTTCTGGGGGGCCAAGGCCCAGAGAGGGCCTGGGCTTCCCCGAGGCCATACAGCACCTCCACAGCAGAGCTGGAAGGAGGCTGGGTCTTCTGGTGCCCAGGCTGGACACAATTTGTGGGAACGCAAAGGTCAGAACTGCTGAACTTCCGGGGAACGTTCAGCCCACGGTGACGGAATGAACATGACGTTGGTGCAAGTAGGTGGACCAGAGGTGTCCGTTCAGTGGGCGCCATGTGCCAGGCAGGCACTCAGGAGTCTGTGGCCCTCTCTCTCCTGCCCTCCTTGCTGGCTGTCTCTGGCACGATGGAGACAGTGCAGATCACCCAGCTCTGCCTCAACTCCCGCCTGGGAGGGTGATGTGAGAAAAGCTTGCGGGGCGTGGAGGCTCAGGCAGCTGTGGGAGGGTCGGGCCTGGTGCTCTCCTCATGCAGGAGCTGTTGGGACCCTGCCTTGGGGAACCCACTGCCCAGGAGCTTCTCAGATGCTGGCCTCAGGCCCGCAGGACACCGCGGGGTCCCTTGAACTCTGAGCCACGGAGCTGCCGAGGGAGCTCACTGGAGAAGTCCCTTCAGCTCAGCAGCAGCCACAGGATTCAGGGGTCCAGTGCAAAATGGGAATGCAGGGCCTGGACCAGGGCGGGAACATTGGTCCCCTCTTCCCTTGGACCCTACACATCCCTGGTCTTATTTGCCCCACCAGCCTCCTGCCCCCAAGGTTTTGCTCAAAGGCTCAGGGCTGGAATCACCAGAAGCATCCCTCAGTCACAGGCTTCCTGGTTGATGCTGGCCGTCTGCGGAGACCTGAGCTGGGGCCGAGGGTTCCAGCATCCACACGTGGCCTCTCCATGTGGACTGGGCTTCCTCACAAGATGGCAGCTGACTCCTGGGGGAGCATTTCGAGAGAGAGAGAGCCAGGCAGAAACTGCCTCCTTTTTATGACTTCTCAGAGGTCACATGGCATGACCTCCATCACATTCTCTCGGTTGGAGCTGTTGCAAGCACCGTAGCTTCTGGGGGTGGGGGGGAAGGAGACTCCGCCTGTCTTGCGCTGTTTATGTTACTATAACCAAACACCTAAGACTGAGTACTTCATCAGGAACAGAGATTGATTTCTTACAGTTCTGGAGGCTGGGAAGTCCAAGGTCCAGGGGCCGGCATCTTTCAAGAGCCTTCTTCCTCCATGACCCCGTGTCAGAAGGACAGAGCACATGTGAGGCAGAGGGAGGGGCTGTACCCATTCCCTCATCAGGAACCCACTCCCTCAGCCATGACATCCATGCATGTGTGAGGGCAGAGCCTTCCTCACCCAATCACCCTTGCAGTTGCGTTGAAAGGTCCCACCCTTCAACACAATTGCATTGGTGTTTAAGTTTTCAGTGCGTGAACTTTGGGGGACACATTCAAACCATAGCAACACTTCTTGACGGGAGGGTGGTAAGGTGCCCATTTTTGGAAAATGCGATTTACCACAAGTCCCTTTTTCCTCAAGCTCAGCTTGTTGGAAGTTCTTTTACTGGTGGTGTGAGTCAGACCATCGCTCTGAGGCGCTTGGGTTCGGAGGTCCCGCCTGAATGGGGTTGTGGCGTCTTCCACTGGGAACCGTGTAGCACAGGTGCCACCAGGAGCTCCTCTGGGTCGTGGGCACTCTTCATGTGGCCCATCTGGCCTCTTGTGCTCGATAATCAGGGTTGATTCCCAGCCACTGCCCACATGCGGCTTTACCTGTTAACTTGGTGGCACTGGACAGGTGGCCAACTCAGCCCCCAGGGCAGCAGAGTCATCCCTGTGACCCCCGGTGGAAGCATTCCTGTACTGGGCATTTTCTTGGGCCGTCCCTAGGAGCGGAATGTGAACTGGTGGAGAATGTAACTGTGAGAGACACCACCCCATAAGTTCTGACTGGGCAGAAAGAGCTCCAGATGTAAGTACCTGGTTCTCAGCACAGGCCTCACCCTGCAGGACAGCACCCCCTCTGCATGGGGCATTGTTTCTGACTGGGGTCTTCAGGCACCCTCTTCACTGTGGAGGAGGCCAGCCGCTACAGGGTGATGAGGAAGCCAGGGACTCTTGAAGGCATCAGGCGTGACTCTGCTTTTTTTGGCTACGAAATGGTTTCTTTGTTGGAAGATAAAAAAGGCTCTGGTGTCTCAGGCCCAAAGTTCTTGCAGAGGTGGAGAAAGGACCACCTGTTGTCAATAGCTCCGTCTTTTAAATACGTTTAAGCATCTCTGCATCCTCCACCCATCCTCCCATTCCCCATTCATCCACCCATCCATCTCCTCATGCCCCCATCCACCCACCCACCCACCCATCTATCCCTCTAACCCCCATCCATCCATTCCTCCCATCCATCCATTTCTCCATCTTTCCTTCCATCCTCCACCTATTCATCCATTCCCCATTCATCCATTCCCCATCCATCCACCCATCCATCTCCCCATGCCCCCACCCACCCACCCACCCACCCATCTATCCCTCTAACCCCCATCCATCCATCTACCCATCCATCCATTTCTCCATCTATCCTTCCATCCCCTACCTATTCATCCATTCCTCATCCATCCACCCATTCATCTCCCCACCCACCCACCAATGCAGCCATCCATCTATTCCTCTAATCCCATTCATCCACCTATCCATCCATTCATCCCCATCCATCCATTTCTCCATCTATCCCTCCATCCCCATCCATCCATCCACTGCCCATCCTTCCACCCAACCATCTATCCACTCACCCACCCATCCACCTATCCCTCCAACCCATCTGCCTTCCACTCATCCATCCCCACCCATCCCCCATCTATGCATCCAGGTATCCATCCCCTCTCCACCCATCCATCCATTCCCCAGCCATTTGCCCATCTGTCCCTCATTCACCCATCCACCCACCCATTTACGGGTGGATGCAATCCTGTTGGATTGGATTCACCCCCCATTCATCTACCATCCACGCATCCATTCCCTATCCAGCTCCCATTCATCCATCCATCCAACCATCTATCTGCCCATCCACCCACCCATTCGTCCATCCAGCCCCCACAAACCCACGATTCATTCATTTGTTCTCTTGACAGCTGCCTTCCAAGCACCCCCACCCCACCTACCTGGGCCCAACACAGGAAGTAAAGAGGACTCCTGTGTACCAGAAGCTCCCAGTGTGGTGGGAGTGCACTCATTAGACGGAGAAACCACACTCACCGTGGACAAACAGAGGAGGAAGGACACAGGAACAGAAGTGTCACAGGTCAGGTCACGCTACTGGGGTCTAGGTAGCTTCCAAATGGGGTGACCTTGACCTGCAGGGAGGGAGGAGCAGGTGACTTCCCTCTTGTCCAGGGTCACCCGCTCACTCCTGCAGCAGCCAGACGACGCCCAGAACCAATTTTTGGCCTGAAGTTTTCAGTTCTCCCTTTAACCAAATCATTGCTCCTTTCCCCGGCAAGTTTCCAATTTAAATACCCAAATTGTTTACTCGCTGAAATCAATTGACAAGGGACCAGCTTGTATTTGTGATTCAATTGACTATGATACACTGTATTACAATTACAGCTCGAATGGATTTCTTTTTAATTTATTTTTCTCTTAACAGTCTCCTCCGAGGTAATTCCAAGACTAATTGTCCTCCGGATCGTCTTCCTCAGCTGGAGGAAGGATTGTGAACTGCTGTGGTTCACAGAGGACCTTGGCCGGAGCTGTGGGGTCCCCGGCACCCCCCCACCCATTCCCTGGGTCCTCCCTTCCAGCCCCCACACTGTGAGCCAGAGTCCTCCCAGGGGAGGCTCCATTGTGAAGGGTTTCATCTGTTGGGCTCAAGATGGGGCAAGCCCCAGAGGAAGAGGGCAGATCCTGCCCCTGCCCCCGCGTCCCCGCCCTCACACCCCCCCAGCCTGGTAGCTGCTCCGTGAGTTCCCATCCAGGAGGGAGGCAGGCTGGGGGCCTGTTGAGCTCTGAGTATCTGTGATCTGCTGCGTACTCCTGAATGAACCTCTTCTCTCTGGGCCTCGGTTTCCCCATCTGTGAGAGAGGTTCCCTGGTCTCTAAAGCCCCTTTGGCTGAGACCTTCAGTGAGTCTGTTCAGGGCTTGGGAAAAGAGGGGCTGGACAGTGCGTCCTTCGTGACTCTGGCTGGGACCCCGCCTCTGCTGGCCATCTGTCCTTCCTCCTTTGCCTCACGTCCCACTGTCCACTCAGGCCTGTGTGCCCGTGTGCCTGGGGCCAGTTTCGCACCAGGTGTTGGACTGGTGTGGCTGTGCAGGTGGGAACCCGCTTTCCCGATGGGAACACCGGAGGCCTCAGGTACCAGGGTCCTTGATCCTGAGCTGGCTTCACCCCAGCACCGGGTGGCCGTGGAGGCGCCCCTCCAACTGTGCCCCACCGAGGGCGCCTGCCTGTTCTCCCTTGGGAGAGACTTCCTGGAGCCCTGCAGCCACCCAGGGGCTTGCTCCCATGAACAAGCCACACCCTGCCCTAGCACGTCCCTTCAGGGGGAGAGGGAGGTGAGGTTTCATCCAGGCTTAGGCAGGGCCCCCAGCACAGCCAGGTGGAGACCCTAGCCAGAGAGGCCACCAGAGCCAGAGAGGCCACGACCCCCTGAGAAGTGCTTCCGGGTGTGTACGTGCCTGTGTGTCTGCGTCTGTCTGTGCATGTGTTCTGTGTGTCTTGCTTATGTGTGTGTAAATGTGTGTGTGTGTTCCTTGCGCATGTGCGTATATGTGCATTCCGGCACCTGTGTGCACCTGTGTATATGCACGTGTGTGTCCATCTCCCTGTGTGTGTCTGTACGTGTGTGTTTGTATGTGTCTTGCTTCTGCGTGTGTCCCTGTGTGTGTAAGCATGCATGTGTTCCTTGCGTATGTGCCTGTATGTGCACTGTGGTGTCTGTGTGTGCCTGTGTGTGTCCATGTGTGTCTCTGTGTGTGCACATGTGTGCCTTCGTGGGCACAAGGGAGCCACTCACGGAGCCTGAAGCAGTGGGATCCCGGCTTCTGCCCACCCCGATGCCTTCGCATCCCTGACTGGGCCTCAGTTTCTCATTTGTGATGTGGGGCGAGGGTGAGAGGCGTCTGTGTGGCCCTGTAGAGATGACCAGATGCCTTTGTCCGTCCTGCGTCCTCTGACCTTCACACAAGTGAGGGGAGTAGCAGGTGCATTTGATGGCCCCCCAGCACCTGGCACCTCCATTCTGGGCCCAGCACCTGGGCCTCTGCCCCTGCCCCTGGCCCCCGGCGCTCCCTCCATGCCCTGACACACAGGAGACACACAACTCCCCCGGCTTCTGCATGGATTGATTTGGCGGCCCTGGGAGTAGACCTGTCCATACATCAGGTGCGTGTGGAAACATGGCCCCAATAACTCCAGCCCACATGCCTCTGCCTGATAAATTCTCGCACAATGGGAATTATTTTGCTATTTTGGGATATAGATCCTCGCAGGAGCTGCGATGCTGTTTCCATCATGGGTGCCATGATCATGAAAAGCAGAATCAGTGACAGGGTGTGAGGCGGAGGGGGTCCCCGGCTGTGTCTGGTGCCTGAGTCAGCCCCCCAGACTTCTAGAAAGGTCTGGGTTCCGGGGGCACCAGCCTGCTCCTCCTGGCCTCTCTGGAGCCACCAGAGGTGAGGTCAGCGAGGACGTCCAGCCACAGGGACCAGGAGCTCAGGTGACTCCGTGGGCTGTAGGGGACAGGAGACCTGCCCAAGGCCACATGGCAGCTGGGCACAGGCAGGGTCCTGCCCAATCACTTGAGTTTCTGCCCCACAAATAGACCAGCTGGAGGGAGATAGCACCCCCCGCTCATGCAGACCCCGATAGACCCCGAACACTTGTTTGGGGAGTGCCCGCCCTTGGCCCCACCCCTGCTGACCACCGAGGGGAGCAACCCCGTTGGCTTCAGCTCAGCAGCATAGGAAGTCCTGGGTCTGGGTCCTGGCTCTGGTTTCAAATTGAGCTTGGCGGTTCAAACTTAGGAAGGTCGTTTCCCTGACTTCAGACTCCTTATTTGTACAGCGAGCCAATAATTCCTTCCCCCGACAGTTCCAAGTAGCTGGCGTTTTGATATCTTAGGCTGGTACCTGGTAAATGCAGCACGTTTGGCTCTTTGGGTCTGTACTGGCTGCAGTGGGCGGGACCACTCGGTGAGCGCCCTATCAGTGGGCTGCAGGCGTGGGGGCCCACTGCTCAGGCGTGGGGGGCTGGGTGAAAAGGCTCTGAGGTCTCTCCAAATGGAGTTGAGACAGAACAGCAGGGACACCCGAGATCCGAATCCCCCACCCTGCCTGGAACCGCACCCCCATGCTGCAGCCAGGAAGCGATTCTCTCCCTGCCCCTTCCCCAGGGGAGGGACTGAGGCTCCCAGCAGCCACAGAGGCTGTGCATTGCGATGCCAGGAGCCCGAATTCCATTACATACCAGGTGTTATGTATGTGGCATCCCGAGGGCACATTGATCTCTCAGGGTGACAGATCGGGTATGAATCAGGTAATAGACCAGCTTGTAAGTGAAATATATTGGACTGTGCAGGTGGCCTGGCTGAGTATTGGCTTGAGGGGAATAGGGCAGATTTATGAGCCGGGGAGGGTGGGCGGGGTGTCAGCCCTTCCCCTGCACAGGCACGTCTGCTGGCCTCACACCTGCGCCTGGGGAGCCAAGAAATAGGCAGCTGATCTGGGGGAGGAGGCAGGAGCAGCATGGAGAAGGGTCCGCCTTTGGGAGGGCTCAGGAAGGGGGCGCAGAGCAGGGCAGGGAGGCTGTGGGCCCTCGAGACAGCCCTGGGGGCAGCTGAGGATCACAGGTCTGGAGTCCTGCACAGTGAGGCGCTGCTGGGACCTGATCATGGCTGTGGTCCCTTTCATGGGGGGTCCATGCCCGGGGACCTGTCATTGACTACCTGGGTTCTCTCCGATGACACTCACATCCTGGAGTCAGATGCCATCATCCTCCCTTGCAGCGAGGCAGGCTCAGAGATGGCCAGAAACCTCAGCCATGCAGCCCAGGGGAGGCCAAAATTGCAAAGCCAGGCGGACTGACTTTGTGCCTTTCACTTCCCCGCTCAGCTCTTCTGAACCTGGATAAGCAGGAGTGAGGCCCCATGGAGGGGCCCTTCCCTGCCACACTCCGGCCAAGCATGCCAGGTCCCAGCCCTCAGCCTGTGCAACCTCAGCCTCTGCACACAGACCACAGACCAGGACAGGGACCCCGCTCAGTGGTGGGAGCAGTGCTCTGATCTGTAGGGCAGAGGATGGAGGCAGAGGCTGGAGGGCTTTCTGGTCAGAGCCGGGGTCCTGGGCGTGGGAGGGCAGGGAGGGCCGGGCTGGGGACCCCGTCATCCATAGTACTTGGCTGGTCAGGTACACTGTTCAGGTGCAGCCTCCACAGGGGAGTGAAACACCCTGAGGACAGGGGGCCCTTCTATCTACATGCAGAGCCCAGCCGGGACCCAGCGTGTGAGAAGCTGAGAGACGGCAGCTTGGGTGGATGCAGTGACGTCAGGGAACACCCACAGTCCTGGGGCCTGGACACACCTGAGATGAGATTCCAGGCTCAGGACTCAGCCTCCGGCCACTGTCCCAGTTCAGTACGTGGCCTCGGTCAGAGCTCAGCCTGTGACCACAGCAGGGCTCGGTTTGGGGCCAGAATCGTGGCTTAGACTTTGTCGAGGATGAGGCTCGGAGTGTGACCTGCGTTAGGACCTGGCTGATGGCTGTGATCGGGGCTCAGTGTGTGGCCCAGATCAGGACTAGGGTGCAGCGTGTAGAGGAGGGAGATGGCTGGGCCATTGGAGAATGGACCTCTCCTCCCCTGGGTCCCTTTGCTCCATGCCTTCAGCCAGGATCTGATCAAAGCCATCAAGGGACACACAGAAGCTTCCGGACCTCCCAGGCCCCTCTGCGGCGGGAAGCCCCTGGGTCCCCTCTCCCTGCTGTGGGTATCTGTCACTGCCAGTCCTCAGGAGCATCTCTAATGAGCTTCCAGGGGGAGGGTGGGGGGCAGAGGGGGCCGATTTATCTCTATTTATGCCTCTTCTTACAGCTCCACTAGCTTCTCAGTAATCTTTATGGGGTTCAATTATTGTATCTTCCATTGATATGAGTCATTTCAATGGCTCCTAATGTTCCGTATTAAATCTCCAGTGTAAAATATCTTTAATGTTCAGCATGAAATACCTAGTCACTGGTGGCAATGCAGCCACGAGGCCTCGCCGGGAGCTGGGGGCCCGGTTCTGGGTGGCAGGTGAGGCATCTTCACCCCTGGGCCCACACATCAGCGGGGTGGCAGCCCCTCCCCCACCGGGCAGCTGG